CTGGCCTCCTTATGTTCCTTCATTAGTGTATGAATTCTTGGTTTGCACGCTTCTTCATCGCGACCATGTTGGTGGTATATTGTTAACGAAAAAAGATCAACCCTTTTTAGCTTACATTGTTAATAGACTTGATTGGCCAGTCGTACGTAGGCAGGAGCGTGACCATGCGCGCGCTGTGTTTCGGGTGTTTTATTGAAGGGAGAGTAATATGCCTTTTGCAACAACATGTCAAGTGTCCCTTTCTCTTTGTGTCAAACTGAACATCCGAAATGAAAAGAGCACCTCGATATTAGTAAGAAGTTTCATTGCATGCAAAATCAAATATTTTATAAGGATTTTTATGGGAAAATGTGCTGGATGGCAAGCTTTGCCATTCAGTACATTTTCCCRTACAAATCCTCTTCAAATATTCGATTTCATATATAACGCCATTTCTTCTATAGTCAACATTATGAGCTAAAACTTTGCCTTCTTGCCAATATCGAGGTGCTCTCTTTAATTTCTAATAATATTTTGACACCACATCTATTTTAAAGGTTAGTTCACATGACCTGTTGACCAAATGGCCTATTTCTCGCGCAGTGTTATTGGTCTGGCATATGCGGCGTTGGTGCTGCGAGTTTTTCGCTGGCATATGAAAACTGCTCGAGTAATCCAACATTCCTTACCGAATTTGCTGCCTTTGCTTCCATCACAGCCACCACACATGCTCTTGCAAGTTTTTCGTACCCAATCATGGACGCAGCTGTGAGTAGCAAGTTTCTTGCAGTGCCACATGTCGTGACAAGCGAGGTAGACGCCAACTGGAACTACACCAAATAACAACACAAAACGGTTAAGAAACTCATATTAGAGAGGCATGGAAGTCCAAGCGATCTACAATCTACTGAAAAATTAAATGTACCACCTAGTATTCTGGAGGACCTTCCTCCCTCTCCCCCCGTAGCAATGTTGCCTCGCATGCATTTTATCAGCCAACCGTTTCCTAGGATAGAAAACTTCATAGACCAATAAGTGGCACATCATTTTTGCAGAAGATTGTAGAACTTTTCTAGTACATACTTTTACATAATCCACATGTTTCACGGCAGTTCCTCTGCATCCATACATCTCGGCACTGAGCGACACCGGGATTCCAGATATTTTTATAACGTGCACAAACTGGGCTGTAGTCTCTACATGGGTACAGAGCTATCGCAAGAAGAAAAGACATTAGTTCAAGTTTTGTTCTGGATATATAAGCGTGGGAAGAATAACGTCACACTGAATGAAAACGGACTACCGCCCGGGCTAATCTGCATTACTGTTGACCTCACCTTGGGCCTAAAGTTTTTTTCCCATTTCAGTTCAGGAGTCACTCCCTAGATTAACATCTCTTTGTTTAGTGGTTGCGCATGAGAATACACATGAATATGGATAAATAAATAGTATTTAGCAGTGGCATTTTCACTCAGAAATTCCAATTGGTTTTTAGAAGTTGATTTTTGCGGGAGGAGGGATACCGGAGAACCCGGAAAACCCTAGAAACACAAGAGAGAACCAACAAGCAACTCTACTCTTATACGACTCCGAGCACCCCAAACAAAGAATCTTATTCTCAAGAGAGTGACACGTGGTCTGAAATGGGAAAATATTACCTCGAGCTGAAGTGAGTTATGCGAACAGTATAAATCGCTTCGGTGTTTTCAAGCTTCATGAAACTAGAATAACAAATGAACAAACCTTTCTTAATCTTGTCATCCTCTGCGTCTTTCAGTTGCTTTAGTTTCTTGGCCTCTGCTTCCTTTTTCAAGTCCTCATCTTGAAAAAAACAAAATGAAAATGAATTCTTGGGTGAGCATGTTACGTCATAGCCACCACGTTGGTTGACGATAACAAAGCATTCCTCATTAGCTTCTCTTGTTGGGTCAACTAAGATGGCGGCTGTTTAACTGTTATTTATTTCTTAAGAGATTTTGAGTCATGTGGTTGCACTCCAAGAATAACAATACGATCGTTTTAAGCCCCGTTTACGCTAGCGATTGTTGCTGCGATTTTTTTGCGATTTTGTCCATAATAAATAATGGTAAAGAATTTACTTGTAAAGTTTTTTTCAGGATACCAAGATTTTCCTAGACGAATGTCTYTTTTGAAGGATGAGACAAAATATTTTGTATTTCCGAAAATTGCCACATAAATCGCAGCAAAAATCGCCGCAAAAATCGCCAGTGTAAACGGGGCTTTACACGAGAAAGAATTCAATTCCCGAGAGTAAAGGGATTTTTTTGTTCTGCCATCCAACATGCCCGTCACGAGATGCTGCAAATCCTCTATTGCCTCGTGCACGGTTAAGAAAAAAATATCTGTTCTCACTTAATTCTCGTATCATTCTTTCCTGTATCATTCTTTTGTCAACAGGTCTTCCCTTACCGGATACTCTAATAAGCTTGTATCTGATGACTTTCTTTGGTTTTTCGTTCATTACTGGAACAGGAGCATCACCGTTCTCTAAAATAGAAACAGGCCATAACATACTTGATAAATTAATTGCTTTTTTATAAATCTTTTTTAAGGCTACTATYTTTGTGTTAGACTATTTGTCCAATTCGTCGATTGCACGTTACGTCATCGCGGCCATGTTGGTGCCATTTAACAAAAGATTTCTCATTAGCATCCATTGTTAAAGGTACCACGAAGGCCGCCAGGTTTTTGTTATTTGACTCTCTTGGGAATGCTTGCAACCCATCAATATAATATTAAAATATTGTAGTTTTCCCCCTCATTCTTGTTTGCCTAACGACGCCTTTGTTTACATCTTTAAAAACATTTGTTGCCTTAAACTTGCAAAAATTTTCCCTCATACAAAGCTGTTTCAATCTTACTCAAATTTACCACTTCAATCAGCAAGCCTCTACGAACTGTAAAACGGGGGAGGGGGAACGCAATCCACCGTTTTATTTATTGAAAAATATACTCCCACTCCTTTGGAGACACGCGTAAATCAGGTGAAAAAATGAGAGCTCTTGAGGCGAATTCAGTATTGCTCGAGTCTGCCTTGGAGCAGAGCTATCTCAGDCAAATTCCTTGACATTCCAAGATAGGTATAGAACATGCAACGAAACATTCGCCGCCCTTTTCTGAAATAACTATAAACCTACCAGCATAGCTTGTGGCTACTTGGTTATCAGCATTTGCAACTAGTGGTGTTGTTTGCTGTATCGTGGCTTGATCGGAAGGTACTGAAAAGAGACATTGAGCTGTAGAGCAAATTTCGTGACTGAAAAACTAACGTATGGACTTGTCCGTGACCGTCACGTTATCGTGTCTAGGCATTTTTATTTGATTTCTGTACCGTTTAATTGTGCCGTGCTATTACACTTAACTGACCGAAGTAGCAGAATACGACACCTTCCTCGTTTCTCTCAGGCCTAGGGCAAACGTCGAACTTTCCATGCTCCAACTCATTAATAACAATGGATATCAGGTGATAATGAGGCGGCATTCTCTGATGTAAATGTAGCTTTAAAACAAAATATCATATATTTCTTTCCTTTGGGGAAAAAAGTGTTGTTTGCTTACCTGACAATACTTTGTGTGCGTTAACCTTTAACACTAAAGAAAAGAAGAGAAATAAAATACAGTCGTTATGCAAAAATCATAAGAAAAAAGTAAGGTTGGTGATAAAGAATTCTAATGTCTTTTTTATATAAGAWTCCTTCATTACATGCATGGTTTTGTGCTTTCCCATTTCAGACCACGTGTCATTCCCTAGAGTATCATTTCTTTGTTTGATGGTTGCGTATGAGAAAACACATAAATATGGATACGACTCAAACAAAGAATCCCATTCTCAAGAGAATGACACGTGGTCTTTCGCCTAAGCAAGACTATTTTCTGAGTTTCAAAAAAAAAAAATTTAGTTGATTTTCATAACTTACCTGGAGCACCCTGGTAGTTAGGGTTCTTGAGAACAACAGCAACAACTATATGGAGAAAATTAAACAAATACACTGAGCTCTTCAGAGAACTACTTATGTATAACCAAAGGTGAATCTAGGACTTAGTTTCAAGGGGTTACGAATTCAGTTAAGTTGCCAATCGTTCCGGTTTCACTGAAACATATCTCTACAAATTTTACGTACGCGTGACGCTATGGTTAATTCATTGGCTTTGCATATCTGCAAATTCATTGGCTCTTCAAAGGAGTGCGATTCAAAACTCAAAATGGTGCCTTTCGTTATTAAGTCGCACTGCTAAGAGCCAATCAGATTGCAGAAATCACCAGTGATTCCAAAATGGGTATAATTAATTTTGTTATTTTCGAGGCCCCATCTGCGAAGACTCTTGAAGAGCTTTTTGTATTTATTAATTTATTTATCGATAAGAGGTGTACGCTCTGTGATTCACCTACTTTTATGCTCGGCTTGTACGACTAGAGCTAGACTCCATGCTACAAATACCATACAACCCAAGGCTGCCTTTCCCTTCATCTTGGAACGGGCTTCAAAAAAATAAATAATAAATAGTGCACCTTCAGCTAAAATTTCACACAAAAAATCAAATTTTTATAAACTTAATGTTAAGAGATTTCTAACAAAGAAATGAATGATATAGATAGATATTTATACGCGGTGGTAGATGTGGAAGAGTTATGATTTAGATTAAAACTCAGATTATACAAGGTGTTGAAGGCATTGTTTCTGTCTTTGTATCGTTTCTTTCGCTGACGGATCTATTGATGGAAATCTTGCAATTGAAATCTTTTCGAACCCTGAAACAGCCTCTGGTCATGAGCTTATCAAAGTCAGTGCACGGAAACGCAAAGATCAAATTGGGATTAAGCGTGTTGGGCTTTGGAGATGGAGGAAAACTAGAGAACCCAGAGAAAAACCTTTGAATCAAGGGAGAAACCTAACAAATTCTTCTCACAAGTGATTCCAAGTCCAGGAATGGCACTCGGATCCCGTAGATAAAAGGTAGGCGGATGTCTATCGCAACACCTCCATTGATTGACAAAGGCTCAAAAAAATGGCGTCCTCCTACCTGATTTGGTTAAAACACAGCTAATTGATAGCATTTTTCGTATTCATTACTAAAACACTAAACCAAGTGTCATTTCTATGTAAAACGAATTATCAACAGGTCGAATCCCTCATGATTAATTTATGATCAAATTAACAATTGTTATAGAATCAAAAAATCATTTTAATCCACTTCAAACGGCTCTTATCTATCGTACCATGATCTTTAATTACGTTGGAGGATGTTAAAAGTTTTAAAATTCATTTAAACTTAGTTTGTTTTTGGTATACAACGGGCGAATTTGATAAGATTCTTCAACCTACTTAAATATTAAAACTTTGAGTCAAAAGAGTTTGATGATTCAAAGGGTCTTTAATCTGAGCCAAACTACAAGAATAATGAGAATAATTTTGTCTTCAAAGGAAAAGGAATACGAATTGTAGAGATTCCTACTTACTTGAAAGTACGAAGATTTGAGGTAATATCCTTTGGCCTCGTTTATAACAAGTGATTTATCACTTCAAATTCCACACAATAGACCGCCCTTACGCTATTCCTCTGGTGTCATAAACAACCCTTTTGGTTGACACATCACCTTTGGAGCTTAAATATGTCACGTGACTGGCAGTACGGACCGTCTGAATTGACAGGTCCATAGGGAATGTTTTGGAGAAATCTTGATGGTAATAGGTAGTGAGAAAATTGTTTATACTTGGGGATTATAAACACTGCAGGTGCGTGGCTGGTGTTGATAGTGAAAGGATGGAGTGTTTAGTCATTGTGTGAGCTTGTTCTCAGGTGGTATTTTGAAATAGAAAGAAAGAAACGTTTTAAGGATGTTTCGTTTTACGAACATAGAATATTAGTTTTAATGTGTCCATCGGCTTAAATCTTTATGGTCGCTGTTGATAGTGAAAGGATGGAATGTTTAGTCATATTGTGTGAGTTTGTTCTTAAGTGGTATTTTAAAATTGGAAAGAAAGAAAGGTATTAAGGATTGTTATTTTTTAAGGACATAGAATCTATGGTTTTCCATCCATTCGAATCCTTATTTTTTTCAATAACTATGGGAGGTTCAAAAGGCAATCCACCTAACCTCCTCTTGTTTTAAATTATGTAAGTTTTGGGGCTCTATTTAGAGTATCTTTTGTTACAATAAAAAGATCATATATCTAGGTTGGTTTCAAGATTTTTTTTAAGCAAAATGTCAGGCAGTATTTAGGAACTTCAGCTTTCAGAAAGGAATAAATCTAGGAAATATAATAAATAGGCACATCTGTATAAAGGTTTTATTAACTGCAAAGATATGTTATTGATAATCTGGAAAAACCGATGGTTATTTTGAGGTTAGAGATATGTTGGAAGAATAGTTGGAAGTCAGTCCTCCAACGTTTTGGACACTTCCATGGCATCACCCGGGACATACGTTGGAAATCGGTGGAAATATTTTGAAAATATGTTAGAAAATTGATGGTGATGACGCGTGCACGTTGGAAATATGTTTGAAATATGTCGGTCGGAAGGCATTGGTGGAAATACATTGGAAAAATGTTGCAAGTGAATGTTGCAAGTATATATGTTGGAAGTGTCCAAAACTAAGTCTACATGGAAATATGTTGGAATTAAGTTAGAAGTCACTGGGAGGGAGCTTCATAATAATATGTTGCATATATGTTGTAGAGACCTTTTAAGCATCAGGTTTACTGTTAACTCCTAGCGATCGGATTCAGTTAGAAGTCACAGGGAAGCTTGGTAATGATATATATGTTGGATATATGTTAGAGAGACCTTTAGCATCAGGTTTACTGTTAACTCCTAGCGATCGGATTCAGTTAGAAATCACAGGGAGGAAGCTTGGTAATGATATATATGTTGGATATATGTTGGAGAGACCTTTAGCATCAGGTTTACGCGTTAACTTCTAGGGATCTGATTAATTTAGAAGTCAACGGGAGGAAGCTTGGTAATGCTATGTTGGATATATGTTGTAGAGACCTTTAGCATCAGATTTACCGTTAACTGCTAGCGATCAGATTCAGCATCACTGAAATTCAACACGGCGGCTCTTCCAGCAACATTTAGTTATGACACCCTGCTAAATGTCAAAAGTTTGACAGAAAACTGCTGACGTCGAACTTCAGTTTGCGGTACCTAGCAAGAACGTCATGCTTAAGGTCTCTATTTATCATTTGATGCGCGATTTTTTCCATTGTACTAGGGTCAGGGTTTGGAAAGAAGCTCATTTTCTGGTTCTTCGTCAATGATATAAAGATCCCGGCGAATGTGTGTCGTATCAAACGTTATGATTGGCTGCCTAAATATCTCGTGATCAGAATCTATTGTGTCGTATTGATTGAGAAGATTAATGGCGACGTCAAAATCATCGCCGTCCGTGGTTTCCAATTCATCCTCTTCCTCCACGTGATCACACCTTATTAGGGGTGGTCTTTTCAAGTGATTAGAAGTGATGTCATCGTTTTTGTCCGTCACGTGACTATCAGGTTCAGAACCCGTGTTGCTTGTGCTGTCGTTTGATGTACTCGAGTTATTTTCGTCATCAAGATCGTCCTGATCTTGAAATATTGGATTATGAATGATATTCTTATCCCTTTTATGTTCTAAATCCATATCAAGTCCTGAAATCCCGCACAATTTAATATCGTTTATAGCTTCAGTTCTTCGCAATTTGTTGAATTTTGGTCTACTAGTATCGTTTGTTTTCCTGAATGAAAAAAGTGGAGTCTTTCGTTTGACATATGAAGTAAATGAAATCCGCGTCTCGAGTCGTCGAAACTCAGTAAGACTTGTAACTTCTTCTACGCGTTCTGGACGCCTCAAAGGAGGAGCACTGTTACTCCTCTTTTTGCGAACTTTCGTTTTGGTTTTAAACTTTATTTTTGAGCGCATTTTTTGATATGTGTAGTTACTCCCACCATTACTCGACGGCTGCTTATGTATGACGTCATCAGAGGACGAACCAGGTGATACTGATTTGGCGCCATTTTCGTTGTAATCAGCGTTTCTTTTTTCTTGTTCCTGTTCATTATTTCCTCTTGCTTTTCTCCTTTTTTCTCTTACTGGTGGAACTCCACTCCTTACATATGGTTCATTAAGTGKTTTTTTCTTCACAGACTCACTTATTCTTGGAGGGCGACTCTCCTCGGGCTCATCACGTGGTCTGTTGCGTTCCATTGGTGCTTGGAGGTCAAAGCATTCTGGGATAGCTGATAAAACGTTTGTTTGCATCAAGAGCATATCTTCTGACGTCCATTGCGACTTTTCTGGAAATAAATTAATAACGTACATATATTAATGATTACGTTTCATAAAAATTAATTTTTGTTTGAAACGACTGTGCGTTTTTCTAGAACCATCAGAAAAAATCTGTTAACATTTGGTCAGCTACGATTTCAAGCTCACGCCCCCTCATGAGAGCCCATACATATTATGTCTCAAAAACACGGTTTTTGGATCTTTTCTCAAAATAATCACTATCTAGGCAAAAAACAGAAGTGGATTTATTTAATTCAACTATTCTCGGACTGTATTATATGGTTTAGATTGAATTCTATTGAAAAAAAAAAACCACCGTACTTTTTGAGTTATTTTACTAAGAGAAAATGCATGACATAGCCGGGTCAAGCTAGAAAATCGTCTCTCCTTGAAATAAAACAGAACCTGTCAAAAAAAAAAAAAAAAAAAACAGAATTGGATTTGAAACCCCGGGCTTTCCTGAACATTTTGGTATATAATTCATAGGAATTTGTTGAAATTTAGAACCATATTTTTGCTGATTTTATAAGCTCATACTATCTGTTGGCCTATACATTCGCCTCTAATTGTTTCTTAGGTTTCGTAGCCTCGAAAACACGCTAACAACTAGTTAGCGAAAGAACAGAAGATTTACGGGTCATTTAGGATCAGTTTACTTGTGCTATATAACTTTACTTTTAAGAACAACCTTTTGTTTTGGAAAGAGAGGAAAAATACCGAAAAGAGCAATTATTCCAAATGTAGTGGGCAATTTTTTGCAATGTTTCAGGAGTTTCATGCAATTTATGTCTTTTTCAATCAGAGTTTTTTTTTTCCGTTTGGAACAAAATTTTGGGACCTGATTCACAGTGTTCTTTATTAGAAAGTTTTGGAGTTCTTTAGGCCAAACTCTTTCTTTTTTTTTTGAGAAAGCGGTTTTGATGAAAGCGTTTCAACATAGTTTGATCTCATGAGAAAAGCTGAAAGATGGATCAAAAATAAAATATTCTCTCGGAAATCTTACAATACTTATCAAAATAAGAAAATTCAAGTTTAGGCCGCGAATTAATATTTTCAGATGAGAACGGTTTGCAAAAGTCATACTTTGTATAATTATCGAAAAAGATCTAGAAAATTCCAAGAGAACCAAGTTTGGACAATGAAATTCAAAATCATAGTAATTATTTCAACAAAACATAGTTCCAGTGCTATGGTTGTCCGTCACAAAATACAAGTATTGAACTTCCAAACAAAGTAAATGTATATTCCACCCGATTTTCATATATATATTTTTTAACATCATTCAATTCAACAAAATATAGAACTGATATGAATTTCAATTCCTACCAAAACGATTATTTTTCTATGGGGTAGCAAACCGATAAAATCGATCAAAATCCTATACTTATGAGCTATCGAAATTTTGGGGTATGGCTTGTTATCTTGATTTGTTCATAAGAAATTTTAGTTGGCTGTGGAATGGCAGGTATCGTAGAATTCAGGACATCTCCAACTGCTTCAAGGATATTTCACTCCCATAGATTTATTCAAACAGAATCTTGCAAAAATATCAAAAACAAATCTGACTATTTTTATGGATATGTCCATGCTTATGGAATCGAAAAAATCGTAGAATTTATAGTTGCAAAAACTATATACATTATTTTTCCTACGTGTTTATCAGCTAGTTCTTCAATGTAATCTTCATAATCCCTACAGCTCTCTGCTAACTTTCTTATGACATCGTAATCTTGAATGGTCTTATCAACAAGACAACACGTATAAAACTAAATGAATTTAAAACGTTTCCATAGCAACTGTCCACGCGTTTGGAATTCCTTCCCACGCCAGGCATGGTTCTTCCCTATGGCGAGATTAAAATTCAAAATTTTATCGCTTAAAAACAGGAAAACAAACCAACTTTAGTATATCTTATTAAAAAAACTACGAATCTGCTAAGAAAATACTCTAGGGCGCCAAAAAAATCTTTAGACGCAAAGTTATGGAATTCAAAAACATTTTGGTTTAGAATATTCATCTTGAAATAATTTATTTTGTAATGTAAGAAAGTATATATTTCGAAAGAGGACTTTGCATTTGTTTATTTATTATGAACGTTACGTTCAATTGGATTTATAAATTCAAACAATTCAAAATTTTAAAGCCCTTGAATTAAATAACAAATTTCAAAATTTCAAAATTTCAAAAGAACGAATTTCAAAATTTCAAAATTTCAAATTTGTGAATTTTTTTACACCTACGTATTTTGATTTCATAAAAAATTGCCATTAATTTTTTGAATTCTCGTACTTACTTTTCTTTACTTCTTTCGAGGTTGCATGACTTTTTAGCACCTTCCATTCTTCTTCTGTCCTTTTTTCGTAAAAACTGTACAAAAATAAAGAAATACTCTAAAAATGTCTGGTTAGAACTGAAGGGAAAACTTCAAAAGAGTGTTCTAAAGATGTCATAGTAAGTTAGTGTTGATATATAATTTGAAAGTTCGAAAAGAAATGCTGGGAATCATGGTGGAACGAATGAGTTCTAATTACAAAAAAAAAGTTGATAAGTTGAAAGATTTATTCGTATAGTTCCTATAAGAAAACTTCACAGCAATCATTTATTTCGTTTGTGAATAATTATCACGAATAAAATAATCTTTATAATAATCTAGAAATGTTCACGATATTTYATTTCTAGCTTTGTTTTATAGGTTAGCAATAAAATGCATAAGAATATTTGGACCGCGGTGTTGTGCGGTAGTTCTTTAAGTTAATTTTTTTCAATTTGTTTACATTAAAAATATTATTAACCCGTCTATAGTCTCTCTTCTTTCCTGCATTCGGTTGCGAATYGAAAAACTTTAGCGAGAGAGAGAGATAGAGCGAGAAATGGTTTTACCTGTCGTCAAATGAATTCACTCCTCTTAGCCTGTTTAAACGAACTCTCGTTAACCATGACCCCAACATTGATATTGCAAGAGAGAAGAGAGAAGGATCATATAAATTTCAAGCGAGAATATTCGAGAAATTGCGTGATGGTTTCTCGTGAGTTTGGTTTAGAGGCGAGAAGAATGGAATTCAGAAACACCTGTTTCCGAGATCAGTGAAGCTATAGAATAATCCAAAGATCGCCCCGGGGAATTCGCTTGAACGAGGCATGATTTAAAACCATGAAGGATTTTTCATTATTTCATATTCATACAATTCACTTGAAAATAATCAAAAAATAAATAAATAATAGAGCTAGACTTGCGTGATTCTAATACAATATCCTGTAGTGTATTTACGCCAAATTATTTTAAACTAATGATTTCAACGTGACTTTGGAAACTCTCAGCATTCAAATATGCGAAAAGCCTTAGTATAWGTACGACTCAATAATTTTGTCCACAAATTAAAATAATAGTTAGGCATAGTTCTCAGATACCTGAACGAAAATCAAGCTCGTTATTAATTTAATGAGGAAATATAAAAGGAAAAAATAAGACTGGAGCATTCGCTAATCAAGAGTGTCCTTTTACGAATCAAACGAGAGGCAAATTACTCTGTTTTGTATTATGTTGCATGACCTTAGGGCAAGATAGAAAAAGGAAATGAGTGAAGAATGCTAGAGCTGAGTGACGTGAGTGAGGTTGTTAAAAAACTGGCTAGAGGACATACGGGCACTGAAATTAAGAAGAGGAGAAAAAATGAAAGAATTTCAAATAAACAAATATGGAAACGAAGAAAAGAGAAAGTATTGATAGCTTTTTTTTAATATACGCTCAATTGAAGATTCGTTGTCGGGTTCAGAAACATAGAACATAAAAGCTGAGACCCAAATGGCACATGGGAAATGACAAATTATATTATAATTTATTCATTTGCTCCATCCATGCAGTCGGTTTAGAATGCCAAACGTTTACTCCGGTCACAGCATGCATCTAATTAACGTACTTCCCATGTGCCGTATATTCGAAGTTTCTGAACCCGACAACGATTCTTCAATTGAGTGTATATATAAAGCGTAAAATCCAAAAGTTCTTCAAATGCATGTTACGATCAATGGACTCTATTGAAGGTGCCTAGTTCCGGAGAGAAGGAGTTTGAACGGGAGTTTGAAGGAAAGAGAAAGTTAAGAAAGCCAAAGAAAGAGATGTGCGGAAAGAAAGAGAGAACAAGAGAAAGACAGTGATAAATACGATAACGAACGATAAAGAAAAGAAAGAACAATATTTTCTATTTCAAATCAAATTCAAAATCTGTGTTAACACTATCGTGTCATCTCAACAGACATTTAATGCCTCTTCCTTTGATAATCTATGGTTTTTTTTTTTTTGTTTTTGTTTTTTTTGTTTTTTTGTTTTTTTTACTGAATACGTAATATGTCGAGGAATTCTCAGTCAGGGTTTTTTGGAATAATGTTCGTACAAATCGAAGACTTAAACATGTATTTTAAAACCAAGTAAATGAGAAAAGAAGATAATTATATTACTATTTAATTACAAAATATGTAAACCAACTTCTAAGCATTTTTAGCTTTCTAGTCATTTTTGGAAACCCCTCAATCTGTTTAAACATAAAATAATGTAAGTTAGAACAAAAATTGTAATAATGGGTGCAAATACAGTTCTTCTCTCAACTGATTCAAGGCCGAATGAATCTTGAAAATTTCTGAACAAACACTTACTGTGCAAGATGTAAACCATCCCGGTATCAACATTTTCGCCAACAGAACAATGATGTTTCAAACATTGACGATGATATCAGCTAGCCAGCCGAACGAACTCAATCTTACTCGTTCTTGCCTTAAAAATAAAATAAAATATCATTTAGCTAGCTGTAAATTTCGACATTGTATCATCGAGTAATTCCGTATTCATATAGGAAAACCTTTTAGGATGTCTGTCAATAGATAAATTTAGGACTAAGCGCATTTGCTTAGATAGTAATAGCTTTGTTGTGGTTGCTAATGATTATTGAAATGTGGAAACAATTCACTTGTAGCACTGAGTATTCAAAATAATTTCAATAAATAATTAATCTGTATGTTGTTTTGTTTTGTTTTGTTTTTNTGTTAATCTTCCGACAAAGTGAGACAGCTTGAATCAAAAGATAGCCACTACCTGGCGAATTTTAAACTTTTTTAGTTTTATTTGCGCAGATGTTTTGGTTTGGAAGATTAAAGGCGGAAGATGCGTTTTTTGTTTTTTGTTTTTTGTTTTTTGTTTTTTGTTTTTTGTTTTTTTGTTTTTTGTTTTGTTTTTCTTGTTTTAGCTCATCAGTACAGCTGTATGAGATTAGATCAAGTGCAGCACACTCTTTTTGAAAAGACAAAATCACAGTTTCATTCTTTGTTCCGACCAAAGACTAACGTCCAAAATATCACTTAAAATATACTTTTTAATTTTACATTGTTATTAATATCATGATTCTTATCATCTACTTAGTAAATGGCCTATTAGACGCCCACTCTCTAATAAACGCCCCGTATCTAATAGACGCCCCCTAATCTTTCAAATATTTATCAAACGCCCCTCTCTAATAAACGCTCCGTATCTAATGGACGCCCCCCAGTTAAACAATACTTCGTCGATTTGTCCTTGCATAATAACACCCATAATAACACTCGAGATGCAGTTTTCTGAGTTAGACGAACACAAACGCCCAGACCCTTTTAGTGACATTACAGACTTGGACATCGATGAAGCAAATGAAGAGAATGAATGCTTGATTGACCAGGACGATTCCGATGTACTCGACATTGAATCAATTTAACTCGTTGACTCTGATCTGTTATTGAACATTTCTCGTTGCTGTTCTCACACTTTGGGCATATTTCTGTGTGGTTATTTTCACTGTTTTAAAAGATTGAAATAAACGCCCTTCTCTAATAAACGCCTCTTATCTATTAAACGCCACTTCTCCCCCCCTTTCCGTTATGAAAATTTGTAATAGACGCCCGGGGCGTCTAATAGGTCATTAACGGTATACTGAATAGATGAACGATTCCACAATGTCCACAATGACTCCAAAGAATTTCTAAACTGATTTTTTGGCAATGTTTGAAAATGGATAGCCACTTAGCTCGATTAGCTATTGCTATTTCTAATTGGCTGTGCTCTTATCACCTGCAATTTCAACTATTATTATTTATATCTGTAAACTATTGAGCACAATAAAGATTGATTGATTGATTGATTGATTGACCCCTTGCATGTGACATCAAAGCCGCGCAATTTGAAGGACAAATTAAAAGATCTTTTGCAACAARCAGTCACTTGCTGATAACTTTAATAACGAATCAATTCAGCTCAAGGTGCCTTGGGGAAGGCTCTGCTGGATGGCAAAGAAACTTTATTAACTGCTTCGTATCTTGAAATCGAAAGTATCTTATAAGGGGGAAATAGTATTTTTGAAAAGGTTTTGGATACGATATTAGTAATCCAGCAAAAAATCTTTAAATAAAGGAAGTCCACACTATTTTGCCATCCAGTAACAATCACGTGTCAAACTATTGAAATAGGCTTATTGTTATCCAATAGGCCCTTTGCAGTTAACGGTCACGTGTCTGTACTGGTGAGAAAATTTTTTTATTTTATTTTAAATTGGTGATTCTTTTTAGCTACTTGTAAAGAACTG